AACAGGTCCGCAGCTGCAAGTGCGTGTCACTTTTTCCGCTAAAATCTGCACGTGAATGCTGTCATTGTAATGATGGGTTCCTTGGTAAACACGGACGCCTGTGCATTTTTGGGACAGGGGTCGACTGCAAGCGCAGTGGGGCGTAACTGACGCGGAGTATGTTGCCCATCTGTAACTGAAAGTGTTCTCTTTCTTACCATTTCTTCTGAGCAAGGACGTCTCTGCTCATTGAGTACTGCCTTTTCTTCTTCTATAACCACTGGGGATCCAGCAAAGGGCGAGCCATGACGTGGTGACCCTTTCGGTGTTGCTCCTGCACTATATCCGACCAATTCACGAACGGCGTAGACTTCTCCAGTCGGCAGTCGTCGAACTTCTGCTTTCAGTGGTGGAGGCGGAGCTGCTCGCGCAACAGGACCTGAATAATTAAGCATTAGCACTCAATCTTCCGAAAATCTCAAGGTTTTCCAGTTTACCTTCAGACTTGCGCAGACTGTCACGAAGAGAGAACCATTGTATCCGACACATTTTAGCATAAACAAAATCCAGTGGTCAGATACAACCGCTCATCAGAGAGTACGTCGATGTACAGAAGTTTACTCTGGTATCATTGCTAACTTGTAAAGTTGATTCATCGGTCTTTACCTTTACCGTCGGTGGTTGTACTTGGCGGCCGTTTGACGCCAAGTTCTGTTTTCTGTTTCGTTTTGTCCTCGTTGTTAAGCGCCTTTTTACGCATCTCTTTTCTTTCCTTTTCCTTATCCTCTTCTACCTTCCTAAGGACTTCTAGCTAAAAAGTTTATGGTTTGTTAAGTTAGAAGCAACGTTCCTCAGATGACTTTCGAGAGTACCTCCCGATCTCTCCATCGTTGCTCTTGTCCTCCTGGATAGAAATTCCCCGGTTTGTCCACTTCTATCATTGCAATGGCTTCGCTAAATGTGGCGTGAACAGAAGCTTATTTGCAGACATCTACAGCCGTCTTCGTTGCAAATGCCGGGCGTTTCAGGCTGCTTCATGTTTTGCGGCAGCGTCTACCAGCGTCTGCCAGCGTCCAGCAGCGTCTCGAGGGCTATGGAGGTATAGGTATCGATCTAGCGTCTGCCTTGGTCTAGCAGTAACGGCAGCCTCCGGTGTGGAGTGCGGCGCAATAGGAGGGTAGCAGACAGCTGGTACCCTCCTATCGCGCCAAACTCTCTACCAGCAGTCTGCTAACCTCCTGTCGCGCCAAGTTCTCTATCCGCAGTCTGTTACCCTCATACCTCCCCATACTCTCCACTCCCGGATGCTGCTGGTCGTTGGTAGTGGGTGGCAGAAGCTAGATCGATACCTATACTTCCCTGGACCTCGCGTCTGGTAAACGTTGGCTGACGTTGGATCGATATCTGTGTTATCCTAGTCGCTAACCTGCCGCACGCTCGGAACGCTGGTGGACGTTTGGTCGCAGGTGGACACTGCCACAAAGTGCGAGCGCAGCCTCAGTGGGCTGGGTTTGGCGGTATCCCATTCTTTACCACTTGTTGGACCGGGCAGCCGACAATAGTTAAACGGACTGGCGCCGCGCCAAACCTACCCTGCCTGACACGCTCCAGCGTCTGCAGCGAAAACGACTGCACCGCCTCCTACACATTGGACCGACGCGAATGAAAAATGTAGGATGGGCACTGATCAGCTGGCATTCAGTCAAGTCCCGTTGAAGGAGTGTAGGCGCTGCCTTCTTACAGTCTTGAGCCCTAGTATTCTTGTATACTCCTTCGAACGCTAGCGGCCGGCGCCGATCGATTGCCGTCTGCAGCTACACTCGCGCCTATGGTACTGGCGCTGTTACCACTGTGGCGCGTCGAGGAGCAGTACAGCGCATTACAGTCGCGTTACGGCGCGGCCACGCACGTTGTTGCCAAGTCTGGGCCTGTCTTAGGTAATAGAGCCAGTGTCTCTC